ATTCACACGAACTTGTAGAAGTAAGAATTGAAGCTATTTCAAAGCGGCTGAGTAAAGAAGTAAATGAGGGGGAGGAGGGGGATTTACAAACAAGCTTGATCAGCTTTGGCCCTGACTGGCTGACTGACAGCGAGGACTACGGGCTGCAGTTTGCGAGCAGGCAGACACAGAGGCTGAGCGATCAGCTGACGGCCAGATTGAGTCCAGTACTTTCAGCCCCAGAATAATACTCCGGTTTTATCGCAGGAGGAGCAGCTGGCTGCCGAAGCAGGACAGGTGAAAGAGATGGTGCTGACAGCAGCCCCGGCCTGCCAATCCAACTTCTCTCCGCATTCCAGAGCGAAGATGGGGGAGGAAGAGACCAATGATAGACGTTTCAAAGTAGCTGCACGGAGAAAGTAGCGGTCATCCTAAAGTCAGAGCTACGCGAGCGGGGACTTTCAGCTGATTTTGGAGATTTGGGTGCGTCGCGTTTGCAAAATGTTCACAGGTTGCGTAACATAGAGATTGGGCTTCGCGACAGGCACGATGATACGGGATCTTTAGAATTAAAAAAACGCCATCTTCAATGACTGATACAATGTGTTTAAGATGTACGGAGACATTAAATTACTTTTTACTTAAGTATCATTTTGATGTATTTGTACTTTACTTAAGGGTTCCCATTTTAAGTTCCTTTATACTTTTACTCCAATACATTTCATAGGAAAACATTGAACCTTGTCTCCTAATAATTACGTTTCCATGCAATTATACTGCATTCTCTGTTTATTCCCGGATTATGGTCGCAGTTTTAAATATGTGGTTAACCATGTGAGCTGAAAAACAAAACAAAAATACTTGGTATGGTTACGTAACTTAAATTATGCACCTTATGTTGAAGGTTTAATGTTTAACGTATTGTTAAAATAGGTCAACCTTGACTTGTGGTTTCACTCAGACAGGACAAAAACTTCTGTGTTTGTTTGACCCACCCATCAACTCCATCCTCCTACCTTACATGGACTTTGATTAGAAACCTATTTGTGAAATACAAATGTAATCCAGGCTAAAATAATGCTTTGTTACTGCACTACACTATTTATTATATTCTGTTGTATTGGTACCTCTACTTTAGTGAAAGATCTGAAAAGTTCCCCTTTCATAACAATACATTTTGTTGTTGTTAGTCACCATATTTAAATAAATTGTGGACCATGTAGACTCGGCCGGGGCAGGTCTTGTGATAAAATAAACTTCATCCAATCCTAACCAAAATATGTTGAGTTTTACATGGGTAAAGAATCGATAAACTGAGAAAATAATCTGCACATTAATTGATAATGAAAATTATTAGTTGCAGCCTTAGTTGAAAAACAACACATCCTGTATGCATGCGAAGCAAAGTCAGTAGTTTTACACTCATCTTTTAAGATTGTGCAAACAACTGGCTCCTCAGTCTGCAGGCTGAGTTCGGAGTATCTGTAAATCAGCATGGGAACGATCCGCATGTACTTTCCAAAGTGAAGGTGACAGTATCTGCAGGTCCATCAGGACAGTGGCAGAGCGGCAGGAGGAATAATTGATGTCTATAAATAGGAGATTTTTTCTTTCCAGGTTGGTAGATAGTCCAAACTGGAACCCGCCCCTTACCGCACTGTATCCCAACGCAAATGAAAGACAGGGATGAAAAAGAGAAGAAGTAAAATATTAGTTTTCTTTGAGCTCCGTATAAATCGTGACTTTCTTGTGTAACAAGGCAACTTTTAGTGTTTAATTAGTTCTTAAGAGCTTGTAAGGAGTGCCAGCTCCAAAGCAGGGTCCCCACGGTAGACCAACAACAGTCTGCTCATTAGAAGAAGCCACCGGTCTGTGTCTGTCGCTCTGCATGGGTTGCTTTCAAAGTCTCTGTGGCTTAGAGGAAGCTACAGATGCACTAAGGAGTTATAGGTTCATATACGAGCGCTCACAAAACCTTGCCTACAAAGAAGGATACTTTATATTTTTCTTATAATCTCATGAACAGAGGTAACAAAGCCTGAAATGCTCACTAGAGAAGCAAATGTGTATTAATCCACTGCAGAAAATAGACCTCTAACAAATGCACTATTTACATCTGCCCAGTCACTAGGAAGAAAAGGTTGACCTTGTACGTTTCTGCAAAACCAAATTATATCGGGCAATCGTTCCTTGAGTTCCCGTCTTGGGCTTCGAGTATTTCCATAGATAGTGCAATTACAATAATGTTCACATTTAGACAAAAATAATATATGACAAACAAAGGGCAAAGTCAAAGTTTGTACAATTCTGTTAGTGGCACAATGTAGGTCAGCAATTTAAGGAGTGGATACAGAATATGGGATAGGACAAGTGGAGCACTGTGGGGCATGAAAATAAATCGCTGATTGCATGAAATTGCAAATATCTATAATGTAAAGGAGATAATAAAGATGTGATGCTATGTTAATCATGCCTTGAAGATGTTTAAACAGTCACTTATGTCAATGAATTTGAATATGCAGATGTCTATAATGTGATGTTAAGCTACCAATCGTCTCATGATAAGGGAGCTATTGTACTGCAGCTGCAGAGAGAGGGAAAAAAGAGAAGGAGGGAAAGAGAGAGAGAGGGGAGCAGTGACCCTAGACTCGTTCACTGGTTCAGACCGGATGTTTGGCAGGCGTGGCACACTGCAGCAGCACTGAACCAGCTGGCATCCACAGACAGACAGGAAGGAAGACGAGGAGGATGCAAGGAGCATAGGAGACAGATAAAGAAGGTGGCGAAAGAATGGAAAGATGGATATAAAGGGAGAAAATAGGGAGAAGAAGGCTTGAAAAATGTAATATCCCGCTTTGACTGGCAAAACCCGTCTCTGCAGGTGATGCTACCCAGCATCCCATTTCTGTGTGTGTGTGAGTGTGTGTGTGTATGAGGACCAAATTGAGTTGTCATCTGCAGAGCCAGTGGTGCCGAATTACCAGCACCTATTAAATTTGTTACTTTTCCTAATTAGCTTCCACGTGAACTCGGAGGCTCGACGTCCCAAAGTGTGTGTCACTAATACTAAACACAATCATTTAAACGGGAGCTAAGAACCTTAAGGCTACGCCGTGGCTGAAGTCATTTCCAGGCCACATTAAAAGATAGGATCTGTAATAAGACTGAAATATAGCGCCGTTGATTGAGCCAGGTGACAGAGAAAAGCTCTTGCTATATTAATCTTAATGTGGAAACGATGGAAGAAAGGGGAAATCGGACAGCGATTAAATGATTAATCCCACAAGGAGCATGTGTGAGTTGCGCAACTGAATATATATATATAGATATGAACGTTTATGCAATTATGTAATTTGCTTAAATACTTCAAAGGGTGGAAATTGAATACAGTGACTCATGCCTGCTAGGAAGGTGCACACAAATAGAGGCAGGATTATCAGATTGAGTCCAACCCAGAAGTCTATAAACTAATTAAAACATTTTCAGACACATGAGCTTTATCTCTGAGTCTTTATGAACAAGTTTGTTCTACATTTAGAGGAGACGTGGCCAAAAAAGTAAGAACTTTTAGTGACACGAGGGAAAGCAAAGGATTATTTAGCTTTTTTGCTAAGGCGTCATTTGAGAGTCAGCTTGCTTATTCCCTCTACTTACATGTAACTGTGTAGGATCTCTGGCAAGTTCCAAAGGGACTGTGTGTGTATATTACTCATGTTGTGGGGACAAACATTTGTTTATACAGCTACGTTGTGGGGACTCACATTTCTTTTGAGGACAGAATGCAGGTTCCCGTAATGTAAAACACTACATTTTAGGGCGAAGACTTTGTTTAAGGTTGGTCGGTTAGGTTTAGGTTAATGTTGGGCTAAGGTTTAGGATTAGGCAAGTAGCGGTTATTGTTATGGTTAGGGTAAGTCTCAAGGAAATCATGCCTCGATGTTATGTATGTACGTATGTCACAATTCTGGGAATCGTATCCAGAATCCAATCAGGATATATATTTGCATCTGGTTCGTTACATTGTCAGGGTCAGTTGACAGCAGACAACTCACTGGGTAATTCATTTATGTCTGACATTTTAGTACATAAAATGCTCAGAATTAATAGAATGAGGAAAATCCGAATTTTTGCCGAAAACGGGAGTCATCAAAAACAAAAAGTAAAGGAATCTTTTTTTTATTAGATTCTATTAGTAGAATCTAATTAAGTAATCTATGTATTTTCCTGGTGTGTTACTGTTACTATTTAGGAAAGTTAATGTGAAGGGCTATGTAACTTGTTATTAATGCTGCATTCCAGACAATTCGCAAATTTCACAGGGGAAGTTTTATATGTATATGTATGACAGTTTGACAGTTAAACGTTAACCCAAACATCATCTTAAGAAACCTTAAGGTGTCTTGTTCGTGTTACTTGTTGACAACTCAATGTCAGAAATTGCTTTTTCTGCCATGTTTCAGCTGAGTCATATGACTTTCCAGGAAGAGAAGTCGACCCACTGCTGCCTCACACTATTGGCCAAGAGGCCTCTAAATTTGCAGTGGAAAACCAGCCCTGACTGAGCAAACAGGCAGTTTTATTGTTAGATAAACAGGGAGACATGTAGAGCGTGACATGGACCTGTTTGGTAAGAATTAAGGATAACTGGTGTGCAGTTTAAATTGTTAATATATTAAATATATAGAAACATGGTTTTGGATTCATTCTAAATGTATTTAATCATGATTAAGATTCTTGTGCTGTCTTTTCTGTACAACAGCCCCTGTTACTCTCTTTCCTAATCAGTGAAAGGTCATCCTTAATTCAATTAAAAACTAAATGTAATTAAATATTTTCATGTTCGAAACAAAGGCTTAACTTCTCAATGAAATTTGAAAAGAAGAAACTGAAGATCAAACAAATGTCAGCCCTACCAAATCAGTGCAATCAAACCCAAATGGAGTCGACCTTTGTCTCTACACTGTTGATGCAAACAGGCAACAGAAAGGCAGTACACAGTTTCATTTGCAGTAATTCCTTACCTCTCAGCTGGATCCTGGGCTGCTGACGGCCGGCCTGCAGGAAGAAAGCAAATATCAAAGTAATTAATTTGTTTTCCTTTAAGATTAACACAGTGCTGTGTTTTACAGGATGAACTGAGACATCCTCGTACGTCTATCTTTGTGAGGACCCTCATTGACATAAAGTATTTCCTAGCCCCTTACCCTAATTTCCTTATCTAAACTAATTCTAACCTGAACCTCACAACCAAGTCTGAACCCTCCAACATTTGAAGACGTGAGTACTGGCTAAAATGTCCTGACTTTACAAAAATGTCCCCATTCTTCTGAGAAAAACTTGTTCCGGTCCTCACTATGTAGCAAGTACAGGAACTTGCATACACACACCCATGCATAAATTGTAGCTTTTTTAAATTCAGTGCAATACATCACCAAAGAGTTACCAGTGAATACACAGGCATTGGATGCACGTTTATGTTTTTGCATGTGTGTTGTGGTTGGTTGTGCATTCATTACGTGTGTGTATGTGCGTGTGTGTATTGTATCATTATAGTCTATCTGTGCATGCTGCCTTCCCCCATTGACTGTCTCTCTCCCAGGCGGTGCGGCTGTGACTAGGTCCACTCTGTGTTGATAATAAGCTCATTAATCATGCGGCCATACAGCCCCCAGCTCTCCGTCCATATCCCAGCTATGATTATCAACATTGATTGGCTCGGAAGAAAGCAGCAGCTGCTCATGAACCAATGGAGGCAAAGATTGTTGGGGTGTAAAAGCAGACGAGCGGAGCATTAAAGGAGACTAAATGGAATCCCAATGTTGAGATGAGATGAGACAGTGGTAGATAAATCCACTCAGGATGGACTCAGTGCAGGTTTTGGTCTTATTCAGAATATTATAACAGTGCGTGAATATAAAAATTCCATAACTCTTGGAAGAAAACACTCAACCGCAAGGATTAACATGCGTACAACATGGTGGTAATGTGAAAGGAAAGTCTTTCCTAAAACTACTTATTACAAATAAAATGGTTATTGAAGGGCTTGACACATATAACCTGGGTCTGACAAAAAAATGTTGAATCTAATTCTGTGCATCCTTGCTGAAAAGACAGTAAATTGATTATTTATGGGGTTTGCTCAAATACATGCATCTTCCATTTTAAGAATTGCTTCTCTCGTTGTACTAACGCAATATTGCGTTGAGTTCAACAACTGTTTTGCTGTTTTTTGAGCACATAATAAAACCATATATTACACTTATTCTGCTATACAACAATATATCCAATATGTTTGTAAATAATTGGTTGCAATAATTGAAAAAGTCAGAACATAGGAACTGCCTTATTTACATAATCTGAAATGAGTTTTAACAACATTGGTTTACTCTTTCCATATTTGACTTTAATTAACATATTTACAATACATTTAGCTTAGAAAATATGACCTCATTTTTCCCATTTAAATGGTTCACACAAACACATGAATTAGGCCATATACATAATTTATATATAATTTAATACCTGAAAATGCTTCCATAATATTAACAGTTGAAGAGTCAGTTCACCCAAATCAAATATGACGCATATTTTCTCACTTACACTTACTGCTATCCTGTCATGTACACAGCTTTGGTTTGGGATGTCTGTCTCTAACATTTATGCTTCCACCAGGATGCAAAGGCAGTGAATGGAATTCAGTTTGTAGCTCTCACAGCATTGAAAAATTATACGTAAAAAGATCTACAGTAATGTCTCATTCGAAATATAATATCCCAGTTGGTATGGATAATCCACAGTTTTCCCTGGAACTCATTTATACCAAAGAATATCCCTATATAATCTATCTGACCATCTACTGTAGGTAATACACTGACTACTGACCTCATACAACCCCCTCCATAATACCGGAGCAATCCCTATAAGTAAGAAAATATGTTTATTCAGAATTTAGGTGAACTGACCCTTTAAACCTTGTGAAAGTCACTGAGCTATATTCAATCCATAAACTATAATAAAGTATATCTTAATATATATCTTGCACTTTCAGGCGCATTGCGTTCAAATGTATCTCTGGAGAAGTCATGCTGAATGTGTTACAACAATTCCTCACCTCCACAAGAAATGAGGATATGGAATCAGGGCAGCCTAGAAAAGAGATTGGAATAGAAATACGATGCGCTGTGGCTCCGGGGTCTGGTTAAAATGACCTCAGTCTGCTCCTCAAATGAAAGCAAATGTGTCTTAACAGCTCTGCTAAAAGCACCAGGCAAAGGCTGCTCGCTGGTATGCATAACACATTCACACACATCCCTGTACCTCAACATCTAGCAATAAACCATAATTCGAAACCTGAACCTTAAAACCAGGTCTTAACTCTAAAAATAGGCCTTTGAGAATTGGCCAAAATGTCCTCACCTTCCCCCCCAAAAAAGTCTGCATTCTTGTTACGGTCCTCACTGTGTAGCCCGTACAAGAAACACACACACACACACACACACACACACACACACACACACACACACA